AAAGTGTAGAAGTACTGTGTCGATTAGAAGGGGATGGTATATAAAGGAGTAAAAAAAAAAAAAAAAAAAAAAAAAAAAAGAAAAAGAAAGGAGTAGAAGAAGAAGAAGAAGAAAAACGACAGATTGCAAACGTGAAACGAGAACGGGAAGACCGATACACAAAAAGATTTTTCAAATGTATTCTCTCGTCATGATGATTACTTGATATTTTCAATCAGCACCGATTATTCTCCTTCCTTCTTATCGCCCGTTGCCTTTTTCTTTTCTCTTCTTTCTTCTTTTTTCTTTTTTTTTTTTTTTTTCTTTTTTTTTTTTTTTTTTTTTTATTTCGTTGTGCATAGCAGAAAGAAAGAAAAAAAAAAGGAAGGAAGGAAGGAATAGAAGAAGATAGCCCGGTTTAACGTTTTAAGATCCAAAGGAGAACCTCTCTTCTCCTCAGTCTTCGTTTCCTTTTTCACGTCGAGAGGATCCTTCCCTCCCTCTCTTCCTCCCTCTTTCATGAAACGGTGGACAAAGGAAACCAAGCGGCAGAACTAATCGCAATCTTGGACGATACGATACGAAAGAAAAGCGTGGAAATCGATGTCGTATTACATCGAACTTTACTGCAATAGTTCTTTATATTACGTTCCCCTAAGAAAAGAAGCCAATGAAAATATATATATGTATATATATGATATATAAAGAAAAAAAAAATATATATATATATATATATAGAAGGTGTGCAAAAGTTTCCGTAACAGATCATTTTCTCAATTTTTCTTCGAAAAAAAAATGCTTTAAAAAAATTTTATTAATGTGTTATATAAATATATATATATATATATATGAGTCAGTAACTACTATCCTCTGAAATGTTTACATTATTTTTCATTTTATGGAAAAAATAATCACATGACAAAGTTATACTATTTCAAGGTCGTCGGTATCTTTTTCATTTTTATTTTTTAATGGAACGTTATTCTAATTTATTTATTTTGATTTATTTATTTATTTTTTCTTTTTTTTTTTTTTTTTTTTTTTTCTTTCAGCTTTGGCGTTTGGATATTTTAAAAAAAATTTTTAATAATTCACTCAACTGTCAAACAAATCACATCTTTATTATAATTATTATTATTATTATTATTATTATTATTATTATTATTATTTATTGGTTAGAAAAAAAGAAAAGAAATTTTTCAGGATAGAAAAAGGCAAAACATATTCGCACTTTTTCTATTTCAAAAGTGCACGTGCATTATTGCACTTGTAACATATTTGAGATGATAATAGTTATTGACTTAACCTATATATATATATATACATGCGTATATTGCTGGTGGGGATATTTTTTTTTTTTGTTTGACTCCAACATTTTCATTCACAGTTTTCAACATCATTTTTCTATCTCCACCTTTTTCTATGATAATTATCTTGCTTTATCCATCTAACTATAAAAATTAATATCTTCCCCAAACTGAAAGATCAACGACGTTGTTTTTTTTTCATTACGAGAATGGGGAAAACACGTGGGTGCTTCGTCGCTTCGATGATTTGGAAAATTGAGAATGGAAATAATGACTTGGGATCGCTATCGGGAATAAAACTTGTTTGATAAAAAGAGATAAACGTAATAGTAGACAATGACCAACCAAATATAATAGTCTCCTTCTGTCGGAGATCGTTTATTCGAAATCGTTATGCAGAAAACAGCTGCAAAAACCGTAAACGTAAATGTTATCCAGCAAAAAAAAAAAGAAGACAAAAAAAAAATAGATAATACCAAGTGTCCAGAAACGATTTCTATAACAACTACGTACGTAGCTAAAAAGAGAAAGAAAAAGAGAAAAAGAGTGTCGCGCAAAATTAAAAAAAAAAAAAAAAAAAAAAAAAAAAAAAGAAAAAGAATTAAATATCTCGCCAAATGTATATCTCGTACGTATGTGTGTGCATGTGTGTCAAAACAAAAATATCTCTTATATAATTTTTAGCACCTCGTAATTCAATCATCAGAAACAAACGAAGCATGAGCGAAACGTTTTGAATAATTTTTTCTATCTCCTCAATCTCTCTCTCTCTCTCTCTCTCTCTCTCTCTCTCTCTCTCTCTCTTCTCTCTCTCTCTCTTTTTTTTTTCTTTTTTAATCATAAAAAATAAAAAATGAAATTAAAAAAAAAAAAAAAACAAGAAAGAAAGAAACATCTGAATCACATTTCCAATCGAACGACTATACATTAACATTATCTTTCATAATATAGATTATATTTGCACTCTTTTTGAAAACGTCAGAATCAATTTATAATAATCAATAAAAGTTTATATAATTTTCTATAAGTTTCCCCTTGCTTATTCTTAATGATCTTTGACTCTAACAAGATCCATATATCTTCTAACATGTGTAAATCAACTTCTCTCTCTCTCTCTCTCTCTCTCTCCCTCTCTCTCTCTCTCTCTCTCTGTTTCTCTCTATCCTTGGGGATAAATTAGATCTTGATAAGAGAAATAATGATTGCAAAGGATTAATCCGGTCGATCCTGCATCGAGTAAAAGACACACACTTTGGATGATGGATGAGAAATCCTTTCTAACGTTCGTTAGTTGTCGTCCTTGGATAATAGAATAGAATAGAAGGAGAAAAAAGAAAAGTTTTATTCGAATTATCGATCTTTCAAAAAGAAGAACGATCATTCACGAGAGGAAGGAAGATGAATGAAGAGAGAAAAAGAAAAAGTAGAAGAAGAAGAGGAAGAGGAAGAAAAGTAAAAGAAAAATAAAAAAAAAAAAAGATCAAAAAAGAGGAGTTAAAAAAAAATAAAAGAGACAAGTTCACTTCATTAGAAACTTTTTTTGAATGAACGACGAAATAATATTTTAATACTTTTGAGTCTTTTTTGATTGGATCGCTGGTTCGTTGGTTTCTTTTTTTATTTGTTTGTCTGTTTGTATTTTCGTTAGTTCGTTTTTTTTATTTTGTGTTATTTGGAAAAAAATAAAAAAAGAAAAGGTAGAACAAAAAGGACGAGTAGTTCGCATATGATATTTCAACTCGATTTTACTCGTACTTTCATCGTTATTCTCTTTCTCTCAACACGTATATATATATATATATATATATATATATATATATATATATATGTGTATATATATATATATGCTGCATATTTGCTCTTCTACGTTCGTAGTTCCATCAGTGCAACCGGCAAAGGCGATTGAATTTCACAAAGAGATAGGTGTATCAGGTGATAACGCCTTCGAAGAAAAAGCTCGTCTTTTCCATCGACGTACATACATATATACATACGTACATACGTACATACATACATACATATATGCACGCATGCATACCTACGCGTTTTCTTGCCTACGTAACAAGCTAAAAAAAAAAAAATTGTCTCTACTTTTTCTTCATCAACATCACGAAATCGTATTATATACCATTGGATCATTGCACTCGATTTCTCTCGATCAATTGGTAAACCATTAAAATACTCTTTATCATTGTTCACATTTTCACGAACGTTTATCGTGCCATTTTGTTATCGAAATTCGATTTTCTTCTACTTTTCTACAACGTTACTCTCTCGCAATTTCGTGAAAAAAAAAAAAAAAAAAAAAAAAAGAAAATTAAAAAAGAACAAAAGAAAAAGAACACAAAACTATATTGAACTCAAAAAAAGAAAAAAAAGAAAGAAAGAAAGAAAAGTATGTTTATTTGATGGTTAATTAAATTTCTCCCAGCAATCGTATCCATTAGATTATTCATGTAACAAAGTTATTATTCGTATTCACGGTGATTCGAGATTCGAGAACAGGTTAATTAAGTTGTCGATGGAACTCAACTTATATTAGTAATCAAACGATATGACCTATTACGTTAGTTCATTAGAGAGAAAATATAATTGTACGTGATAATTTATTGATATTTACGATCGAGAACGTATAATAAATAAGACACAGGTCAGTGTACCTGATAATACACTAACCTCCCGTGGTTGTACTTTGTGGACCACCTAACCATCCTGATGACCAACCGGTAGTTCCACCGATATTCTGTCTCTGTTCTGCCAACAGTCTCACCGTCAATGCATATGTTAGTAGCATAACACCTAACGGTATGTAGAAGCAGATTATGCTACCAATCAGCTTATACAAAGGATCTGGTATTTGGCACGTACGGTTGACCAATACGGAATTGTGATCCTGAAACAATCGATAAAACTATTTAATCGATGAAACACAACGCACTCGTGTCGTAATCATTGAACATATGTGATTCGGATTAGTTTTAAATGAAGATTTAAAAGAAAAAAAAAAAGAGAGAGAGAGAGAGAAAAAAGAACAAAAAAAAAGAAAAAAAAGAAATGAAACAAAAAAACACACACACACACACACACACCAAAAAAAAACAAGTATCAGTTGTAAAGACAATAGAAATGGAATCGAAATCGGTGATACGGAATGATAATATCAAATATATACGATATATAAATGTTATAATTATTATACATGCTAGATTATTTAACAACGAAGTGTCCATGATTGTTTATCTGTATTCGTTATGTATATATATATATATATAAAATGATTGGGACAGAAAAATCAATATTCAGAATCCTCGACGGTACAATTGAGTTAAATTTCAAATAAAAATTGTATCTACAGAGAGATGGTTCCCGTTCGAATGAACGAGGCAAAAAATATGTGTAAAGAAATGTACAGAATTGATACAGAGTTAGACGTGAATGTCGGGGATACAGGAGAATTATATTCACAATCCACTTCAGATATTAACGTGTAAACTTTTACGTTTATCAGACGGGAAATCGAAACAAGTTATAACAACAACGAACTATATAAATCCATTTCTAAATTCAACAATTCGAAATCATTAATCAACCAATAACTATGAAAGTATCTATATATCTACAATGGCCTTAATACGTTACCATTTCATTTATGTCTCCTGTATTTGAATATGCCGCACATCTCCTTTGGAATTTATTTTAATCATTTATGATAATTCTTATATTTTGATTTACAATTGATATCAAAATAATTGTTATAATTGAAAAATTATTCGATATCATGGTTTGAAGCTTTTTTTTTTTTTCCAATGTAAGGAGTAAATATTTAAAAAAACTTTTTACGTGACCTTTGTAAAAAAATATTTCGAGTAACGATTTTTTTTTTTTTTTTTTTTTTTTTTTTTTCCAGAACACCCGAGCAATGTCCAAGCGTAGTGTCTCTATTGGCCGAGAGTTATAATCCTCACGTTCGATATGGCGCTGCAATGGCTCTGGGAATTGCCTGCGCTGGAACCGGCCTGAAAGAGGCAATAGCACTCTTAGATCCAATGACGAACGACCCTGTGAACTTCGTTAGACAGGGAGCGTTAATAGCCTCGGCAATGATCCTCATTCAACAGACCGAAGCTACCTGTTCCCGCGTAAAGGATTTCCGTGCCCTTTACGCTAAGGTGGTCGTCGACAAGCACGAGGACGTCATGGCCAAGTTCGGTGCTATTCTTGCACAGGGTATCATAGATGCTGGTAAGATGATCAAAACTCTCTAATCTTCTCATCGTCGAGACGGAGAATATGGGACTTTCACGACTAAAGAACTTTCAAGGAGATTATAAAGCAGCCTCTCGAGTTAAACCAATCTCCCGTTGTCTTGGAAAACTTTCTTTTTCTTTTCCTCTCTTTTTTCTTTTTTCTTTTCTTTTTTTTTTTTTTTACAAAATGTTCTGATTCATCTTTAAAACGTCCCTATTTTCATAGCTTATCTTCAAACTTTTTACAATAGTAAAAAAGAAAGAAAAAAACACGTATGTCTACATACTTCTGTCAATTAACTAAAAAAAAAAAATGTTTTTTTTTCTCTCTCTATAGGTGGTCGCAACGTGACAGTGTCACTCCAATCCAGAACAGGTCATACAAATATGTTGGCGGTCGTTGGTGCCCTGGTATTCACTCAGTATTGGTATTGGTTCCCATTGGCACATTGCCTTGCCTTAGCATTTACGCCTACTTGCTTGATTGCTTTGAATGCACAATTAAAAATGCCAAAGTTGGAGGTACGTTCGAATGCACGGCCAAGTATTTACGCATATCCAGCGCCGCTCGAAGAGAAAAAGCGCGAAGAAAGGGAAAAGGTCACTACCGCTGTACTCAGTATCGCAGCACGAGCGCGTAGGAAGGAATCTGAGAGAAGAGCACGTGACTCCCATGAAAAAATGGACGTGGTAAGACATAACATTCTTTTCTCTTTCTTTCTTTCTTTCTTTCTTTCTTTCTTTCTTTCTTTCTTTCTTTCTTTCTTTCTTTCTTTTTCCCCTTTTTATATTAATAAAAATAATCCATTAATTGACGTGGATTATTAAATGTATATTATTTGAAACCGAGCTCGTTTTTCAATCATCAATACATACATGTGCAATTGTAAAAACTCGACGTATTCTGACATTTAAAATTATAAAAAAAAAAAAAAAGAAAAAAAAAAAGTCAGTTTTTTTTATTTTTTGTTTTTTCTCTCTCGCTGTCTCTTTAAAAACGATCCTCCTACATATATATATATATATATATATATATATATATATATATATATATAAATTTAAAAGTTTGCTAGGAACCGCGTTATTTTATTTCGACTTATAAAACGTATAACAATCAATATTGACTTATATGCTTTTGTAATTTTTAAAATGTCATTTCATTTATTCGTTCATTCGTTCGTTCATTCATTCATTTAAATTCGTTCGTTCGAGTTATTTTCTTTATCCTTTGCCAGATTAACCAGAAGATAAAGTAGATTCTTTTTTCTTTTTTTTTTTTATTTTTTTTTTTTTTTATTTTTTTTTTTTTTTAAGATTAATATACGATACTTATATAAGTATTAATATATCGTTTGAAGGATCCACCGGCGGTGGTAGAGACGAAGGAAAACGTCGAGATAAAGGAATCAACGGCGAATACACCAAAGGAGAAGGATGAAAAAAAGAAAGAGAAAGAAGAGAAGGAGATTAAAGATACGAAGGATAATAGAGTTGATAAAAAGGGCAAAGATGAGGCGGAAAAGGGTGAAAAAGAGAAGAAGGAACCAGAGCCGAACTTTGAGATTCTTCAAAATCCAGCTAGAGTATTGCGACAACAATTGAAGGTGATTCAATTGGTCGATGGTAGCCATTACGTACCGGTGAAGGATCTTCAAATTGGGGGTATCGTTATGGTTAAGCATATTCAAGCGGATACTGAAGAGGAACTGGTTGAACCAGTTGCCGGTGAGATATAATAATTTATATTTGTTTTTATATACATATATATATTGTTTTGTTTTGTTTTGTTTTGTTTCTTTTTTTTTTTTTTTTTTTTTTTTTTTTTTTTAACGAAGACCCTTTCCGAAATCATTTCGAACGGATACAATTTTTTACTCGATTATCTTCTTCTCTAATGTCGAAAAGAAAAAGACAAAGAGAGAAAAAAAGAAGAATAAAATTCGTACGATAAAAAGAAAATTATCCTACTTACATCTAGTTAAATTATTAATCTCCTTAGTGAAGTGAAATATTCCATCTTCGAAAGTTTCAACTCTAACCGCTAATGGACCATTTAATTAAGATAAATTCGGCCGTGATTAAAATCAATTACTTAAATCGTTAGTTTAATCTTGAAACGTCGTCGATTGTATTACGAGCACGTATATTGATCATTTGGTTCTTTTTGATTTTTATGTTTTAGCATTTGGACCAAAACCCGATGAGGAAAAGGAAGCAGATCCACCGGAACCGTTCGAGTATACAGAGGATTAAGGGACAATACGTGATATAATAATCAATATTTCCCTCTCGCCTATCATAACAATAAATAAGTCGATCGTTTGTTCGTCTATCAGATATATATATAGGTACATACATACATACATACATACATACATACATACATACATACATATATACATACATATATACATACATACATGCATACATGCATATATATATATATATATATATATATGTATATACGTAAGTGGTCTCCCTTGTACGCGTTCAATAGCGTACACATTAGACATCCTCCAATCAACAATTTGTAGCGAGAAGCATTTCCATTTTTTAATTAACGTCTCTTGAATATTGTTTCAATATTTTTCTTTTTCTTTTGGTCTTTTTTTTTCTTTTTTTTTTTTTTTTTTTTTTTTTTTTTTTATTTTTTTTTCTTTCATCTTTATTCAGTACACCGTTCTAGAGTGATACTTTTATTTCGGATAAGTCGAACGTAAGAAATATCTATTCTTCTTCGACGTTCAATAATCGACGATTCATTTTTACGTAATAATAAAAAAACAAATCATTTGTGCAATTGCCCAAGCTTAGCACTTATTATAATAAAATCAGTCTTCTCACTCTCTCTCTCTCTCTCTCTCTCTCTCTCTCTCTCTCTCTCTCTCTCTCTCTCTCTCTCTCTCTCTCTTTCTCTCCCACCCCCCGTTTTTTTCTTTTTAAGGATATCATCGATTTCGAACATCGACGAATTATTTATACGTATCAATATTAAAAATTACAATAATAACGTTAACTCGTTCATGATTTTAAATTGTGCACAATCGATAATAAAATATTTACTGTAATAATATCCAACAAAAAAGAAAAAGAAAAAAAAAACAAAAGAAAAAAATGTGATATCGTTATAGAATTATTTTTAATTTTATTTAATACAATGTGAAAGTGGATTGATCGAGGAACGATACATCGTAAAATCGATTTGTTCAATTAATTGTCGTTTAAAGGTAAGTATGAAATTCAATGATTATAAATAGATCCGTTTTATTATCATAGAAATTGTGGAATTTCAAAGGGAAGGAAATAAAAGAAGAAAAAATAAAAAAGAGGAAGAAAAAACAGATTAAAAAAAAAAGAAAAAAAAAAAAAAAAAGAAAAATAAACAAAAGAAGAACGAAAGAATATTATGAAGCTCGTAGCTTTGTAACATAATCATTTTGTCACGGATGAAACGTTTACGTACGTTGAATACGTGATAAGCAGGTAATATCACCGACCCTCGCGACCTATACATAGATATTTATGTATTTCGTACTCGTGCATCGTTTATTATTATCGATTTACGTTTAACTTTCTATGTACGTACGTACGTACGTACGTACGTACATAATGCGTAACGTTATCGTACAAAGACCATATTTGAATTTTCGTTGGCTTCACGCTAGGTCAACCAGGTTTACTCCGATTATTCGAAATTCATTGAACCAATGAAACAACCATCTATTTTCTAACTATCTCCTGGTATCTAATTGTACAGTCCAACGTTGTCTAATTTGATTTGAAATTTGATATTTGTTTGGAAATTAAACTAATGGATTGAAATATATGGATTATTATATTGTTGTCCGTTTGATCGAAGAAGAGTTATCGTAATATGAAAAGAAGAAAAAGAAAAATAAAAAAAGAAAAAAAAAAAGAAAGAGAAAAAAGAAAATATATATCTCGATGAAAACGAAATTTTTATTTTTATTTTTCGTCTGATTTTCCTTTTCTTTTTTTTTTTCTTTTTTTTTTCTTTTTTTTCTTTTCTTTTTTTTCTTTTCTTTTTTTTTTTTTTTTTTTTTTTTTTCTTTTGTTCTGGACCCTAAATCAAATATTTACCGATACGAGCGAAAGCTCGGAAAATTTAATTATGCCAACCAACGTTGTCTAATTTAATTTGAAATTTGATATTTGTTTTAAAATTTAAATAATGAATTTAAATATAATGATGATTATATTGTTATCCGCTTGATTAAAGAATAGTTATCGTAATCTGGGAACAAAATATATCCCTATAGAAGCGATCTATTTTTTTTTTTTTTTTTTCTTTTTTTTTTTTTTTTTGACCCTAAATCAAACATTTACGATCGGTGCGAACGTGGCAAATTTAATTATACAAACTGACGTTGTCTAATTTAATTTGAAATTTGATATTTTCTGTTTTTTCCTTTATTTTTTTTTTTTTTCTTTTTTTTTTTTTTTTTTTTTTTTTTAAATTAACTAATGGATTCGTATAATAATGATTATTATTATATTATTATCCGTTTCATTAGAAAAGGTTCTTTATAGTATTAGTCGTTGAAAAAATATATCTCTACGTAAACGTTCTTTTTATTTTTTCTTTGTTTTTTTTATTTCATTTTTCTTTTTTTTTATTTTTTCTTTTTTTTCTTTTTTCTTTTGTTTTTTTTTTGGAGTTCTAAATCAAATATTTACGATCCATGCGAACGTCGAAAATCTCCATACCGAGAGAGTTATAGCCTTAGGTCTTCATGCATTTCTAGAGAGTGACATCGACTAAAGCTCCGCTTCTGTGCCTGTCGATAATACGCTTCATGGCGTCTCGAACGAATGGAAAAATATGATAGCGACTGTCTGATGTCGATGAAAAGCTCTATGCTTATTAACTCTCTCTCTCTCTCTCTCTCTCTCTCTTTTTCTCTTTCTCTCTCTTTCTATTTTTCTATCTTCTATCTAAATGCAGTAGAAATCGATATTTCGAGAGAGTAGTTACAAGACGCCCCTTTTAAAAAGTATCATCTTGATGATAAACCATTTGCGATATAATATTTTATAGAATATTCAATACATACATGTATACTTATATACATGTGTACATTTAAATAGAACAGAGTAGGAAAGAGAAAATAGTTAATAGTAATAAAATAGGTTTCCCGTGAATAAAATGAGTTCTCGTGTACGAGTGAGAGAATCGAATTACTCTTTCTCTCTCTCTCTCTCTCTCTCTCTCTCTCTCTCTCTCTCTCTCTCTTTCTCTCTTTCTTTCTCTCTTGTATCTTTTATAGAACCACCAAAAGATATCTCTCCGATATTCGTAAAAAAAGGAATCGTCTAACCCGCGAAATATCTGCAGTACTTATACAAGCATCATCAAAGAATTTATGTGATTACTTTTTTAATTACGTCGATCGAATCGCGAAATGCAAATGAATATTTTCAAATGGAATACAAAAACAAAACGAACATTCTCATTATATATGAAGAGAATCGTGTATAGCCATTGAGAAAAATTTTTTTTATACTTTTTGATCCCATTTTAAAAAATTGACCCCATTTAAAAATGTGTGATCCCACACATTCGTTCTCCCTTCCTTCCTTCCTTCCTTCCTTCCTTCCTTTCTCCTTTTTATAATTATATTTCTTTCTTTTCCTCCCGTTTACTGCTCGTTAAATCCTTACGTAGAAAATTGCTATTTTCGATATTTCAAACTCTTTCTCTCTTTCTCTCATTCTCTCTTTCTCTCTTTGGTAACTCCTGTAGTAAGTAACATTATTCTCGTTTAGCACGCACGTCTCAGCAGCCCCTCCCTCCGCCCCATTTCAACCCCACCTAACGTTACTCGTTTAACCATCGTCAAAATTACGTTTCAAGTAAATACGTGCTACTTTCATGAGTTTTTTCTTTTTTTTTTCTTTTTTCTTTTATTTCTTTTTATTTTTTATTTTTCTTTTTTTCTTTTTTTTTTTTTTTTTTTCTTTTTTTCTTACTCCTTTACTTTTATATTCATAAAGTTCGTCTAATGGAACAACGAGAATATTATCGTTTACGTGTTATCTAATGAAACTTCACGAATTATCTTATAGTTATCTTATAGTTCAATAGTTGCGTTCAATGCTAATTATAAGGGAAGGTTTAGTACGATGTTATCTACACATAGTATATCATCTTTAACCGTGATAACGAAGGTATGAACGAACGAACTAATGAGCGCTTGTCTTGATTAATTATTGTTAATATCGACATATATTTTACACGTAATATCAGGGTAAATGGTCCCTCGACGAAAGAGAAAGCTAACGTTAGAGAACTCGTTGGAAAGACCAAAGAGAGCTTCGAGCTTTCCTTCATACTAATTCTCTTGAATACATATATATTTAGATTATCCGGATTAGTGACCGACGTGACTTTACCAGATAATAGACTAAAGCTTAAATATTTTGCTATTTTGGAAAGCAAAAGTTAAGTTACATTAATCTCTTCAAAATTCTCCCACTTTGTGATATATCCAAAAAGTAAATATAACGACAAATATTCGAAACAATATATAATTACGAATACGCATGAGATTATCGTTCGTATTTTATCAATTGAAATTGATTTATTAACGATTAAAAAAAAAAAAAAAAAAAAAAAATAAAGGATTAAATTCATTTCAAATATTCTAATTTGTTGGAAAAATTTGTATGATTGAAGAGAAAATGATTTATTTCTCTTCAATAGATTGCGGAACATTTAATATTTGTCCGTTCTTCTTCCACAAATATACTAAATACATTAATATTTACATATAATAATTTCTAACATACATTTTAACATTTGTTTCTCTCGCAATTAAAGCGAGTGCAATTATGAGAATACCTAAATGTAAGTATTATTTCCAGACGATAAGAAAACAATGAGAACACTCGTAGTACATAATATTATCGATTACTTTATACGAAAAATACTTCTTTTTGAATTAAACGAAAAGGAAAGGATCAATTTTCTGACTGAATATTGTAAAACTGAAACGCTTATCGAATGTGTTTCTATAGGAATGAAATATAAAAGAGAATGAGAAGATGAAAGAGAAAGAAAGAGAGAGAGAGAGAGAGAGAGAGAGAGAGAGAGGAAGAAAGAGGTTTCACCATATACTGACAATTTTGTGACATTTACCAAGACTATTTGAGTCTCTGGTAATTCCGAGTTCTTGTTTTCTCTGGCAAATAACGCCAACAATGTTGCAAATTCCCAAGAATGAAACGAAAGTCGCAAATTTGGTCTTTTCCTCTTTTACAAACACAGACACACATACGCTCATACATACACGTACACGCACGTAGTCATTACCCTTTTTCCCCTCAAAGAGAGAGACAGAGAGAGATAGAGAGAGAGAGAGAGAGAGAACTCTGCTGTTCGAGACAGCTAACAAGGGGGAAAATTAATGCCTCGGAATTCTGAGATGTTCTCTCTTTCTCTCTCTCTCTCTCTCTCTCTCTCTCTCTCTCTCTCTCTCTCTCTCTCTCTCTCTCTCGTTGTCTCTTTCTCTCTCTTCACCTTCATCTGTCTATCTAACCATCTATCTCTTTACGAAACGATGAGGAAACAGACGAATTTCCTTTCTTTTAACCCTTCCACCTCAACATTATTCTATCTTTTATTATCGATATTAGTATATAAAACGTGATCGTAAAGATTAATGGGTAAGGTATTATTATTATTATTACTTATTATTATTACTCTTTACTCGTAAGAATTCGAAATGTATTATATCTAAATTACATTGATATCGTTCGTAAGTATGAAAGAAAAACAAAGAAAAAAAATATTGTACAATGAATGAAAATAAATAGAACGTAAAAGTATTCGAATATTTAGGGGCTAGAAATGTACATGCAAATTATATATTTGTATGAATCGTGAGTAAATAAAAATTATCCCTAGTTTTACATACGTGTGTGTAAATATAACATATATATATATATATATATATATATATATATGTAAATATAACATATATATATATATATATATATATATATATATATATATATATATGAAAAAAGAATTTTATTTGTTAATCATTACTTCTCTCACCTTAGAATACATTAAACTGAGAGGTAAGCTCATGGCGATGCTCAGTAACCAGACAAATATTATTTTCAGGGTGACTCTTCGTCTCGTTTTATTCCGACCAAATTTCATTGGATAACGTAGGCTCAGATATCGGTCGACGCTTATAGTGCAGAGATGCATTATGCTTGCCGTACAAAATAGAACGTCCAGACAAATCCAAGCGAGACAGTAGACCGGCGGTAGTGGAAAGTATCCTGAAATCAAAAGAAGAAAGGCGAAAAAAAAAGGAAAAAAAAAAAAGAAACAAGAAAGAAAAGATTGAATCTTTTTTTTTACGAATATATTTACATACGAATGAAAGATAAGAGAGAGAGAGAGAGAGAGAGAGAGAGAGAGAGAGAGAGAGAGAGAAAAGAGACTAGGTAAGAATAAAATTTATCGAACGAAAAATATTAACACTAGTAATCGTATAATGTTACAAAAAAAGAAAAAACGAATCACTTTTCGTAACGTCAACAAATTTCATTCTTCTTTTTCGTTTCTTCTTTTTTTTCCTTCGTTCCTTTTCCCTTCTTTCTTTTTTTTTTTTTTTTTTTTTTTTTTTTTTTGACGAAACGTAAACCTCCTCACGGAAAATAATTGCCAATAGAAATTTGTTTTTTCATAATTTCGCGCTTCAAGATGGAATTCTCGAAAAGTGAAGACGCTTTTAAAACGTATTCCCTTTTTATACTTTATCCTTCCTCTCGTCACTTCTTCCTTTATATTTTCTTTCTTTTTCTTTCCGTTTTCTTGTAAAAAAAAGAAAAAGAAAAAAATGTCACGAGAAAGTAGTCATTCTATCTCAAAAAAGATCGTTCGGAATCTTTTACTACGAACGACAGGCACCTGCCATAAGCAATTTTCTATTTGGTTCGTATCGATGAAACCCTTCTCTCACCCTCTCTCTCTCTCTCTCTCTCTCTCTCTCTCTCTCTCCTACCTACCATTCACCACCCACCATTACTATCATCACCACCTCTATTTACCCCTATTCGCGTGTATTCCTCAAAACGAAGTTAGTCATAGTTATTGTCAGCACGAATGTTCGACGGTTTATTTCGAATTTTATGGTTAAATTATGTCCATGATATCTCGACTTTTCTTCCAACGTTTTGTTTCAGAATATATGCTTTTCTCTCGAAGCACGTATCTTTAGCTAGATATATAAGTACATATATATATATATATATATATATATATATATATATATACATATATATATATACATATATATATGTAACATGTGTATATATATATGTATACATATATATAGGTACGTACATACGTTTAATATGTATATGCCATAATATGTATGTTCACGATCTCCTCTGTGTATATATATATTTTTTTTTATTCTTTTTCTTCCTCTTTCTCGTTTTCTTTCTCTCTTATTGTCTCCTCCATATATATATATATATATATATATTAAATAATATAAATATATATATATATATTAAATAATATATATATATATATATATATATTTATATATATTATAGCTTTTGCTTATGTATGTCTATTGGATATATGCGTATATGTGTACGTCACTCATGTTTAGTGAAAGAGGAGTCAATGAGTGAGTGATGTGCTGTAACGAGAAATCAGTAGGTTTATCAAAAGGATAGAAGAAAGAGATTTATGCGTTAAAAGAGAGAGAGAGTGAGAGAGAGAGAGAGAGAGCCTTTCACCTGTACTATATTTACATCCTACATGATTTTATCTATTTTAAACGATTCGCTTGTTAAGAAGCTTCTCCTCCCTTACGATTGATATTTTTATCTTTTTTTCTTATTTTTTCTTTTTTTTTTTTTTGTCTTTTTTTACTCTCCTCTCTTCCCAAGTATTATCTCCTCTATTTACTACGGTCTTTCTTCTCTCTTTCTCTCTCTCTCTCTCTCTCTCTCTCTCTCTCTCTCTATCTCTATTTTATTTTTATTTTTTATTTTTTATATTTTTATTTACAATCGTTCAATCCCACCACCGCTACCTCCGCCACAATGACAAACCGATGTTATTTTTCAACTCTTTAATTTTTTTAATCGTTGACAGTGTCTTTCATTAAATATAATGAACAATGAATTGAAGAAAAAGAAGAAACTTTACATACTCAAGATTGTACGTACGTACGTATGTACGCCATTAACGAGTTAAATATCATTGTTAAAGGTATTACAACTTTTGACTTAGTCTTGTTTTAATGTTCGTTTAAAATTAATATCATCGATTAATTTCATCGTTTCAATTTGCATCGTATCGTTTATTGTTAACGAAACGAAATCTATAGGATACGTGAATAATGGATGATCGAAATATTCATACGTTAGTTCGAACGATCGTTGTTTCATTGTTTCTAAGAAATTCTAATATAATTTTACGAGTTCTAATCGAGTTGAGGTTATCTCGATTAATGTCTAATGGTGTACGATTAACGTGATTTCGGATGATAATCTAAATGCTCGTTGAAAGTCAAATTTTCGGTTGTTAAACATTAATAAATCTAATAAAGAGGGAAGCGAGTGTTGAGATTACCAGAAAATAATTTGTTCGTCGAGTATGCTTTAAATCCTATTTAACGAGTTAAAGAAAAGAAAAAAAGATAGAAAAAGGAGAGAGAGAGAGAGAGAGAGAAAGAGAGAGAGAAAAAGAGAGAGAGAGAGAGAGAGATGGTAAGAGGGCGAGAAGGAAAATAACGTTTTGGACGTCTCATTTATCTTCGGACGCTTTTAGAGTCGGGTGCACTAGCCCTCGTAACAAATTCTACGAACGCTCTTCCTCCTCTGAGCTACCATCCACCACCTTCTCCCTTAAGCTACACCATCCTCCACTTCTTCCTCCTCTGACACGTCTTACCTCCTCCGTGGCATCTAGTCACATTGAGAAGCTACGTGACTATGTCACCATTGTAAATATATATGTATATATATGTGTATGTGTGTGCGTGTGTGTGTGTGTGTATATATTATCGTGTTGAAATTCTAAATTGTTCGTCACGTGTCCAAAACATCGATACCCGATATCTAAGAAAGTTATCGTTAACATTTAATCTCGATACTACATAAATATAGATAAATATATAAATTTGTACATATATATATATGTGTGTGTGTGTGTGTGTGTGTGTGTCTGTGTACGTGGATGGATATATGTATGTATGTATGTATTTATGTACGATGTATGTATAAATTTATGTATAAGACTTGACATTTCGTGACTTGTATCTTTTTACGATTTAAATCATGTTCTTCTTTTTTTTTTTTTTTCTTTTAGTCTTCTTAGAATATATACTACAAGATCAAATTTTCTACAATCCTTATAATCTTGTGAAGATCTTTTGCGAATAATTTTCGAAGAATTACTAATGACTATCTCTTCCTCTCGAAAGTCACCAAAGTTAAATGAGTCGAAGCTTTACGAAGTCTCGAACGCACATTGAGGAAAAGACGAGAATAGAGAATAAAGTGAGAACGAAGAAGAAAAGAGAGGAATAGAGAGAGAGAGAGAGAGAGAGAGAGAGAGAGAGAGAGAGAGGTAAGCCAACGCGTTTCTGTTAATTATCTTTCTTAACTCGCTTCTTCTATAATTACGTTTTCGAAGACTTCACTTACATACACATACATATAAAAATTCTCAAAGGTGAGAAACATACACAAGGATGAACATTTGATTTCACTTCGATTTTACGGCATTGTCGAACTTGTCGAACTTGTTCGAAAAAAGAACTGTCATTTTTGTCGGAAAAATATTTTTTTTCGTATTTTTATTTTTTATCTTTCTTTTTATCTTTTTTCTTTTCCCTTTATATATATATATATATACATATACATACACATATATCGAAATTTTAATTTGTCTTTTGAAGGGAAGATTCGTCGAGAAATATTAATTATTGTTCTCATTTTTTCTTCGCTTGTCTTATTGAAACTTTTCGATAAGAATACATATAGTTTAGAAAAAAAAAAAAAAAAAAAAAAAAAAGATTACCAATTTCTCCTTTTGTCCATTTCTTTTTTTATTCTTCAAAAATAAATATCGAAAGATTTTATTATACATACTCCTACTTTTAAATTCATCTCGTCGACTAAACACCCTATATTATAGTTGCACAGGCAAAGTGTGCTTGCATTAACGTTCAAAAACTACTTTTGAAGTAGATAACGCGAAGGAATGTGGGAATTATGCGTTCAGGAAATTTTTATAAGGAAACTTTACTTATTGCGGCGATCTTGTAAAACTTCGATATAAACGATCTTATCTTTTATATTATCCTTTATCTAACGTCAATTTATTATATTCCATAATTATATCGTATAATAGATATTATATATGAATACGTAATTGAAACAAATATATTGCCTCGACGATTGATTGATCTCCTTCTTCGAATCCTCAAAACTTCGTAAACGAAACAAAACGGAATGAAACAAAATGAAACGAAATAAAACGTGGTAAAATAAAATAAAACAAAACAAAACAAAACAAAAAGAATTAACTTCTATATTCGTACACGTAATCGATTCGTTTTAATTCTTTAAATATTGAACCAGTTCGTAACGTTTACGAAAAAAATAACTGTACCAATTTCTATCCATAGAAATGAATGTTAGTTCGTTTCTTTATTGGTACATACATACATACAAACAAACAAACATATATACATACAAACGTACATACGTAGATAGATTCGGAATAAAAACAAACGTTGATACAACAAGCGATAAAGAATTGAAAACGAACGGTAAACGTTAAGAAGTAAAAGTACGATTTATATATCGAGATTTATATAAAGTCGGACTCATAAACGGGCCGATGGAGCAATGAAGGTGAGGGGAGAATAAAAAAAGAAAAGATAAAAAGATAGAAAGAAAGAAAGAAAGAGAGAGAGAGAGAGAGAGAGAGAGAGAGAGAAATCGGAATCTCGATAATGGAGTTCAATCGTAAATCATATTTTAAGTGATACTATTTCTTTAAAAAAAAAAAAAAAAAAAAAGAAAAAAAAAGAAGAAAAGTAAAAAATAAATGAATGAGAAGAAAAAAAGAATTACAAAAGAAAAATCATCATTGGAATCGGAGAAAGAAATGCATTTTTTACTTATTATCTCGAATATCGTATTACTTACATATTTATCGTAGAAATATTGTCTCTTTCTTTTTCTATTTTTTTTTTCCTTTTTTCTTTTTTTTTTTTCTTTTTTTTTTTTTAAGAGAAGAATAT